TATTGGTAAGACAGATAGATGCTTAATAACTAGACTTAAAGAACATTCTTCACGATCTGATAGTGTTATAAATGATCATATACAAAATTTGTGAGGCATTCCAATATGTTTTAGTTTACAAGGTATACTTGAAAATGATAATGTAGCCTGTAATGTAAGTAATAAATTAGGTTTAATATTTTCTAATACTAACATTATTGACAGTTCGCAAAATTGGTCTATACTATTGTTTAAGAAGCGTTTGCTATTATACGTAGGCTACAGCCATTGCTTAACAATGGGCTGAAAGCTTCAAAAGAACTTTCTTTGTTTTTGTAGGTAGCTTGGATCAGTAGGGTAAGAATGCTTTGATCTTTAGTTTATTCATAACTATGTCACCTACTAGGGGTAATGTTTTCATTGGTCAATCACTTTTGGTACTTGTGCATATAAGCTTTCAAATATGGATAATTTTTCATTCCTGATGATGACATAATTAATGTCGAAATATTGAATCCCGACACGATGGCGTGCATTTCGATACTTGGAGTATGTATTATACTATCTTATCTGAGATTAATCAGTGGACTTTTCGGTTTTTGTTTCACTGTATTGTTCAGAATTTGTTATTATCGGGGAACCGGTTTAAATACTTGTTGACATAATCGCAATATCGTTTTGAACTGCTTTACTGCAGGATTTAGTGTCACGCGATTATTTTTTTCACATGCCTCATAGTTGAGCAACCTCGATTCTTAGGACTCATAAAAATGATTGAAAGTTTTTCACTTGACACTTTCCGCTCTTGACTAGAGTATAATGCACAGCAACATGTTTAATAACGATTGAATATGCCTTTTGGTGATAAACTGATAATCTATATTTTCCACCTGTAATCATTTTATGGAAATCGGAAGCTATAAATGTTTTAAAATTTGGTTATCAAATTAATTAAAATTGACTGATAGTTTATATTTTGTTTAATTCATATCAATATTGAAATTATTTGTACAACGTAGTATCTTGTATGTTAATCAAAAAGCACTACAACTTTGTTCAGATAACAAATTAACTATTCAATGATTATCGATTAGTAGGCCTAAACTGGATTTAAGTTATCATTTTAGAAGTTATTATTTGTTAAATGTTTTGTTGAAAAAATAAGCGGGAAATTAAAAAAAAAGGGGGGGACGCTCAATGTTAGATCCTACAGAAAAACATGGAAATGTAATTATGTAATTTTTGTTAAATTTGTTGTATGCGAGTCATCTGCAACCTACATAGGCCTATCTGTGTTCTCTCGTTTTGTATTTTTGTGTAATACATATTATTTACTGTACCACAGGATCAGTAATTACACTGTCAAAGATTCTATAATTATAAGAATCTTTGACAATGATAGCATGAGGCCTAGGAGGGAGCGTGACAATGTGAGAAATATAACTACACAGTTGCGACATTGGAACATAATTTGAAAAACATAGTACTGTAAATGTTAACACTGATGCCGACTTACAGAAATATATGGCGTGCCATCCTTAACCCATCCAAGCACGATGTCGGCTCCTTTCATTCCACCGTTTGGTGAAAATCCAATCCCAATGTATCCAGTCGTGTTTGCACGGATTTCAAAAATAATCATATCATCCTCTACACTCCAAAATATTTGTACATTTTCTTGCAGATCTAGCATCGCATTATGCTGAAACCCAGCAATGAGAACCAAGTTCCCAAATAAATAATTTATAAGAAAAACAGTTAAAAATTCTTTCAGCCACATCTTCCACACCTAATTTGGAAAATCTCAAACTAATGAATGTCCTTCTGGCCTTCCTTATTTATACACCACCTCAATGGGCAGATATTATGACCATACCATTCCAGCGAATGTAGTGGCATGGTTTCATTTACAAGTAGTTTTTATTTTCGATCGGCATGGATTTAAGATAACATGATTGTGTAGTTGCATAGTTTTATTGTTTGTAAAGGTTTAACCACGGTATGAATTTACGCTAACATGTGTCTCGAAAGAATCGCATTTTCATATTTTTTCATTTAAATGTAATGGTCCAAAAGTGCCCTTCCGGGGTCCCTCAGTAGATTTTCCGGTCGTAATACTGTAGTATTGTATTGTTCTAGATTCACAAGGTCAGATAAAAGAAACGTGGTGCAATTGTCTTATTTCCCGTGCAGAGGCCTGTAAATGTATTTTGGCCAATAAGACCAATGGTGTGGTGTCAACTACCATCACATTTCATGAAAGATTGGCCAATCACGGAATTGTTAACATTATTAACCAAGTTGAATAAAAGGTGTTACACTGCTATAGAACAATATAAGAAATGACAACCAGATTTTTGTTTATGACAGACTAACTATAAAATTTAATAGCTCTAGCTTTAGTCCACACATTGGATATTGACGTTTATGAGTTAAACAAGCCCATACTTTTGAAAATATATATTTTGTATTTTATTAAATTTTTTAAATGTTAGATAGCCTTCGTTCATCAATTAAACATGTTATATTTCTAGTTAGGCTTCTTAGAAGTTAGCAAAGAGAGAACTTAGTTTTGCACTGATAACCTGCATTAATGCAAACATCCTATGTGAATTTTTTACCATCATAACATCACTTTCATCGTCATCATCTTCATAACTTAATCATCACCGTCGTCTCCATCATTATCGTCATCATCATCGTTATCATCAACATCATCATCTTTACTACCACTTTTTTCGACCATTTTTTCATAGAGAATGTTATGTCTAAAAATACCTGTACTAAATTTGACAAAAATTAAATGTTGTATTTTAGATGCTACTTTTTTGCATAGTCTGTATTAAATAAATATTATTGAATACATCGTCATGTTACGGAGTCCCTAAAGGGACATGGTTGAAGAAAATTTTAAACTATTTCGAGGGAACGAAATCATTTCGTTCCCTCGAAATATTATTCCTCGAAATATTATTTCGTTCCCTCGAAATATTATTTCGTTCCCTCGAAATATTATTTCGTTTACTCGAAATAATATTTCGTTTACACGAAATAATATTTCGTTCCCTCGAAATATTATTTCGTTTCCTCGAAATAATATTTCGTTCCCTCGAATTATTATTTCGTTCCCTCGAAATAATATTTCGTGTATGGTACGCCCACAATGCCTTCAGCTGTTCGTCAAGGGTGGCGCCAGGATTTGCCCGACGGGGGGCCGAGGTCGCCCGGCTGGGGGGGGGATGCCCCGGACGAGGGGTCAGATTTCCCCGACGAAAGCAAAGTGGGTGAGGTCCAGCTACGTTTAAAAGGTTTAGACAGTTTTAAATTTTGACAATTATACTTAAGGTTTTTAAAGGCTTATTTAATCGATATTAGAGTCTACTGATATGTAGAAAATACATACAATTATTGTTTTTCCCCTACAAATTGTGCTTTTTCTCCTCGACGGGGGTAGGGGGGTGTCAGCTCTCTCCGACGGGGCCCTATAGTATTAAATTGTCAAAATTTAAAAAATGTCGAAACATTGTAATCGAAGCCACACCCACTTTGCTTTCTTTGGGGAAATCTGACCCCTCGTCTGGAGCATCGACCCCCAGCCGAGGACCTCGCCCTCCCCCCTGTCGGGCAAATCCTGGCGCCACCCCTGACGAACAGCCGACCCCGAAGGCACTGTGGGCGTACCATATACGAAATATTATTTCGTTCCGTCGAAATAGTATTTCGAGGGAACGAAATATTATTTCGAGGGGGGCCGAGGTCGCCCGGCTGGGGGGGGGATGCCCCGGACTAGGGGTCAGATTTCCCCGACGAAAGCAAAGTGGGTGAGGTCCAGCTACGTTTAAAAGGTTTAGACAGTTTTAAATTTTGACAATTATACTTAAGGTTTTTAAAGGCTTATTTAATCGATATTAGAGTCTACTGATATGTAGAAAATACATACAATTATTGTTTTTCCCCTACAAATTGTGCTTTTTCTCCTCGACGGGGGTAGGGGGGTGTCAGCTCTCTCCGACGGGGCCCTATAGTATTAAATTGTCAAAATTTAAAAAATGTCGAAACATTTTAATCGAAGCCACACCCACTTTGCTTTCTTTGGGGAAATCTGACCCCTCGTCTGGAGCATCGACCCCCAGCCGAGGACCTCGCCCTCCCCCCTGTCGGGCAAATCCTGGCGCCACCCCTGACGAACAGCCGACGCCGAAGGCATTGTGGGCGTACCATATACGAAATATTATTTCGTTCCGTCGAAATAGTATTTCGAGGGAACGAAATATTATTTCGAGGGAACGAAATAATATTTCGAGGGAACGAAATAATATTTCGAGGGAACGAATTAATATTTCGAGGGAACGAAATCATTTCGTTCCCTCGAAATATTACTTCGTTCCCTCGAAATAGTTTAATATTTTCTTTAACCATGTCCTTTAGGGGCTCCGTATCATGTCTATTATGTAATATAATAATCTAATATATCAGTTCCGTATTAATTTTACTTGCATTCATTAGATTGTTTAAATAAAAGTATTATAGTATTTCGCTTTGTCACAAATAGGCCTACAGTAGGTAATTAAATCACAAATAATATGTATTGTATTGCTATATTTAAACCATAACGACTTCTCATGTAACATTATAGATAAAAACAAACAGATGATGTAATTTTATATAAAATTTTATATATCCCTGTTTTACAGAAAAGTATGTTTTTTCTGAAAATCCTTGTATTTTTACAGTGTATACAGTAGGTAATTAAGAAATGACACGTGATCGAAATCGTGGAAGGAGCTGGTTAGATGTTGAAGTCCGCAGCGACCCTACGACCATACCCGGTCATGGGACCAGTAAACAGATACGTAAGTAATTAAGAAATTTCAAATGATAATACTACTGTATTCCTATGTTTAAACCGTTAAACCATTATTTAAGTAGAAAATACCATATATCAGCATGGCTTACAAAAACCCCTGTGTGATGGCGATTGTACACAAGGTAACGATGTACCACGTTGCTTGTTGATTTGATGCTGAGTTGCATTTCGCTTTTTCAACTTGACTGTTTAGCTCTTCCACTAGGTTGCTTATCGGATCAACTTTTGTGACTGGAGGCTGTAAAAGTAATTATGCAAAACCCTATAATGGTTATTCTTATTCAAGTAGGATGGACTTCACAAGTCACTAATGAAAGTAACATTCGATAATAGGCTAAGCCTAACTATGGCTATGTACTGTGCAATCATACAAAAGATTATTCGGGATGTACGATTTCGCCGAAGAGACCAAATGAATGTCAGGAATGAACTTTTGTCAGTATGACTTTCAAAAGAGTACGGTATCCTTTCAAACTTGAATTTGGTTACATACCGGTAACCGTTTGGTATGATAGGGTGTTCGCTAATAATGTACGCTACTCCATATTCAGGGGCGGATCCAGAAATGTCCAAAAGGGGGGGGGAGGAAGCGGGGGTCGAAAGTTGGGCCGATTGAGACCTGTCTCTTTGGGCCGATTGAGACAACACTGGCGTAGGGGGTCTGGGGCATGCCCCCGCGAAGTTTTGTGTTCTAGACGCCCGAACATAACATTTGAGGCATTCTGGGCTATCATTTTTTTCTTTTTCTCTTTTTTTCTTCCTTTTTTTCCCTTTTTTTTACCTCCCAAAAGGGGGGGGGGGCCGGGGCCCCCCCTTAAATCCGCCCCTGATATTGTTACTCCATTCATTGAACAACGAAATATAAAGTGCTTCGGGCACATTTGAAATTCAGAGCAAAGGGCTCGAAACCCCGACCAAAAGGTTGAAAACCCGAATCGCAATCGGTGTGCCATCTGCTACAGAGGAGCAACCATTATGATTCAACGCAGCAGGTACTTACGGGACCACGGGAATCTTCAACCAATCCAGATATATTAGTGCATGTCAGCATATGATCAGCTTCTATATACCACCTTGCACTTGCTTTTTTCCGTTCATTTGTCCAGTTAAGTTCAGAAAGACCTTGTATATTGTGTATTGTATCTCCTCTAAAGAAATTAAAATACTAAAATAAAAGAAACTGTTGGAAAGTCCTACACATTGTATTAAATATGGAATTGCTCATTCATAAAGAAAATATGTTCTCCACTTTAAGACACAAACAGAGGTAGTGCCATTGGAGGCTTGAAGCCAGCATTTCCCCGCCCCTACCTCGTCAGTGCAAGTTGTCCACCCAGCCGCCATGAAGTTCATCAACACAATTCGTCGGAGCAACATTACATCCCATCTTATTGCAGATTAGAAATTGATTAAATAATCCTTGCAAACCTGTAAGAGTTTCCAGACGCACTCTCGTCAGAAAGATCGCCCCCCCCCCCATCCCCGACTCACCACACTAGCCCATCCGCCGTGCAATTTTTAGTAAATCACTAAACACAAATCGGTTTTTGCTAATGTCAAGATTTACAAATAGGAAAATTAGCCGAACATATTCAATACCGATGTTATCAATATTTAGATGATAATAGCAGAGTTTGTTTTAATATCAAAAGGAACCCTTTTAGAGAGTAGTTTATACTATTTTACGTCATATTAAACATAATAAAACGTTTAAATAGTTTAATAGTTTAAATAGTATTATGTTTAATTTTGATTAGTTGTATAGGCCTATTTATATCATCCATCAATGGTATCATGAACTTCATATGTTACTTACGGAGAAGGGTCGTATTGAAGGAATGAAGCTAATTGCAGTGCATCAGGTGCGCTTGCACATTCTAGAACATTAACTCTCGGATAGTAAAATAAGAAAGCTACGCACATCTCACTTGTAGTACCTACACCACTCTAAAATAAAAACAATAGCGTAACATTCAATTTAGATTGAAATAAACTGTCCAGTCAATTGCAGTATCAAAGTGACTACTCAACAAATAGTGGGCTTCGTAACTGTCCGTTTAATTTAGAGGTACACATTAAAGAATAGAGTTTTGACAGTAAAATGGTTTCACTTACAGTCGTAACTTTATCTCTGCTGGATGTATCATAAATGCATTCGATCATCAGCTCATCCCCCTGTAAGTACAAATGTACTCTAGATTAATAGTATATATTTCATATTTAAAAACTGCCTGAAGCCCTGCGGGCTTCAGGCAATTTCTGGAGGCAATACTGGCTCCTAAGTCTATTTCCTATAGTGTACGAAGTTACGTGTGTATTAGCTGCGCGTATTAGAATGATCTGTTAGTAGTACGCGCACTGACACTCTTTGCAGCTCTTTGCGATACGAAGATGGTAGACATTTGTTTAATAGATTAAAATGTATTGTAAATACACCTTCGTTTTCTTCGCGACATTATTATGCTGCAGACACTTACATATTTTTAACGGATTATTAGGAATATTATGGTACCTGTCTCTTATACACATCTAGATGTGTATAAGAGCCTCGAATTAGAGAAGTCTCGAATTGGAGGGTGCACTGTATATAAACAAGTGATAGGTGTGTTGCACGTATGTTCCACGTATTATAAGGAATAGTGTGTGTCTGAGACAAAAAAAAAAGGTGGGGGGACGTATTTCGGAAAATAAATATAATTTATTTTAACGAATATTTCTATGCAATGTTACTCAGTTACGCTGATGGAGTCCTTAGGAAGAGGACGAAATATTCGTTATAACAACTTTTTTCATGTTCCGAAATACTTCAACCCTTTCTTTATTGTTTGTAACAATAAAAATAGTAGGAATATTATAACATTAAAAATATCTGCGCATTATAGTTACATACCGCAATACATATTGGTGCTAATGTGTTTTAGATAACATAAAAAGCTCGGAATTGCCAAAAATAATGTGATTAATTCATTCATATTCATTCAATCATCCAAATATTTATTTATTAGAATAATGGTAAGGCGGGTATGGGAAATAATAGCTTACACGAACAGATGGTCTAATTGTACTCCCACATTGAACAAATATCTTTACTTGCACTATTAACACACAACAGTACTTACTGGTTTTACTACATATTCTTCTTTCAGCTGTCTCTGTTCCCGTAAATTGGAGTCGAAGAAATTGTCTCGTGCAATATCGCCGATATATTTACCATCTCGAAAATGGGCTAACCGAATGGCTGTGGCTGTGTATATCAATAGATCTTTAATAAGCATCAATATCAACAGACAACTTAGTGGAGATACTGTATATTGTTTTTCTATTAATAGCTCTCCTATGATTCTTATATGATTAGACCAAACGTTACCGCTATTGATATTGTTATCATTATAGCTCGGTTTCCACAGAATTGCTCATCCTATCGGCGACAGTCGCCGACAGTTGTCGGGAAGGCTAAACCTGGTTCAACTTTGCCGATTGCGTTACAGACGAATCGGGGTACCTTCCCGATTGCGTCAGAGCAGCTAGAAATGCACCCTGATTCGTCTGCAACGCCATCGGCAAAGCAGAACCAAGTTCAACCTTCCTGGCAACTATCGGCGACTGTCGCCTCCCCGATAGTGTGAGCGATTCCATGGGAACCAAGCTTATCACATATTTTCGGATATTTAGGCCCAATTATAAATTTTAATATTTTATATACAGTAGGCCTACCTTTCAATCCTTTTTTTATATTATTTTATTTGGATTTCCCTACACATTCTATTCTTTTCTCCTTAGCTTTGATTAATTGTTTGATTGATTAAAGCCCAAAATGTGTATTGTCTACCTCAAAAAATGTTTATGAACTATTTCATGTTTCCAGTGTTTGCTGATTCCATTAATCATTAGAAATGGTCTTCGAATATTGTGATGGTCGGCTCATTGTACTATGGTTTCTGAACACACACACACACACACGCACACACGTGTAAGTAGCAAGGCAATCACGCGTAGAAATACCTGATTGTCGAAATCGTGAACATTGAGTTCTTAAACAAGCAAGAGGATTTCAGTGAATATTATAATCATTTGACCTACTTACCAACCAGATGTGCGTGAAGGTATACACTGAAGATTTTCATATCACTGTCCGCAAACATCTGTTCGTGTTAGAGAGCGAATGTCAATATTTCAATAGATTTATGCCTTATAAAATGGAAAAATTTTCCGATGTACAAGCAACGTTTAACCACTGGTCCCAGTATGCTATTATAATCTATAGACGGGCACTCACTGCGATCAACGGTCGTAGGCCGACGAGATTTTATGGATAATGCAACGCTACGACGAGCGCCCAAAATGGATCGTTTTTAATGACGATCCGTTCAGACTCCCACCAACACACAGTAGGCGGCGTCCCGTCGTCTAGCGCTCACAGGGAGCGGAGTTATATTCGTCGGCCAACGGTGGTACGATCGCCGTACGACACAGTGAGTGCCCGGCTTTAATCTCATGGCTTGCGGATCTGTTATTAGTTGAGAATATTTTGGTATTTGTAGGAATTGAAGCAGGACCCTAAAATTGAGATGCAAGCACTAAGTAACACAAACGGTAAATGTTGGCATATTTTTAATGGCAATTTTTCAATTAGACAATACACCTTCGTTTTCTTCGCGACATTATTATGCTGCAGACACTTACATATTTTTAACGGATTATTAGGAATATTATGGTACAGTATAATGAAATATCAAATAGGCTTATCACATTGAGAAGGTTGCAAGATCGTACAAATGTAATACTTAACTATACTGTAAGAAAAAGTTAAATGTACAGACCTGAGTATCTAATATCGTTACCCAGTAATATATAATTTTACATTACATGAAATTAATCCTACCTTTTTTGTGCACGCGTTGTTGCAATAACCATAAGTTTTGAAGACAGTCATTCCGGGAGGTATGATCCATTCTAAAAATGCAGGAATACCAACTTCCAGATTATCGGCATCAAATTGACGAAGTTTCGATGTATAATATAACCGTACGCCGGTGACATCGCGAATACCTTCGAAGAAAATCAGAAAAACAATTTTTGTATTGATTATGTTATATCATACTTTTATTACTATCCGTACCTAAAGTATTTGTTGTCATTGACAACTTAATTTTAAAACTGTCTATATATTGCTTATGTTGTTTTAGTTTTTATATTGAGAAATTTGATATTCCGTTCAACTCAGGTCCAATAACGGCATCTGTTTCTTTGATGAGCCTATTTATAATTGTTTATGTACCGGTATATTAAATGAAATTACAAAAAGAAATAGGTAAATATAGGATTTAATAGTAGGCTTTACTTGTCTGTATAAATTATCAATTATCAATCAAAATATAACCAACAGCATATGACATATATTAAATTATGTAATATAATAATTATGTAATAAATAAAAAAATATTCTAGGTGTATTGGTGTACATGTGAAATGAAATTACAAAAATAAATAGGTAAATATAGGATTCCAGAAAAGAAAAACTGTATATGCTCATTAAAATAACACCAGAGCTTTTATGACAACAATATTTTCTAGTGACTGGGGAGGAAAGTGAATGATAATAGGAGAGAAAATATATTTTATCGGGATGTATCGACACCAAGACACAAGTATCAAGAATGTAATGATTGAACCCATAATAGCTGAGAAAAAGTAAGAGATACCGTAATAGTTTTTACTAGATTAAATTAGCGTAACTGGAAGATCGTTTCAAATAATAGACTTGAGTACGAAAGGTGAGATTGTTTAACTACATCATAGAGAAAATAGAACAGAAGGAGTAACATCGAGCGAAGATCAAAGGTACAGACCTGCTCGCCGCAATCAATGACTTACCCTCTTTAAGTTGCGGATTATCGTAATGAACCCGGAGTCGCATGTAACGTGGTGAGCCTGGCCCACCAATGCTAAAGCCTACGTGGTCTGGGAATACCAATGGCTGGGAAAAAAATCCAGACCAATGTTTTTGTACATTTCGATGAATTTTACGCATTATTTAGAAATTGCAATCAATCAATATTATTTTCAATAGGCCTGTTATTGTTAATAATCAAAATTCTAATATCATACAATATATAATTATACTATATCATACTAATATAACATGTCTTAGTATGATATAGTATAATTATATATATACAATATATAATTATACTATATCATACTAAGACATGTTATATTATCAAATTAACATGTTCGGGTATGGTGATGATGGTGGAGATGACGATATGACGCCGGATAAAGTAATGAATAAATCCTAAATGAAGATAATGATGATGATGATGATGATGACGATGATGATGATGATGATGATGATGATGATGATGATGACGATGATGATGATGATGATGATGATGATGATGATGATGATGATGATGATCATAATGATAAAAGTGGAGTGTAACAACATGTTACTTTATACTTACCCCTCCTCCAATTCCCCACCCGTATATTATTTTCGTACAAATGTCATATCCAAACAAATCCCTACAGCTTTGGCTCATATCGGTTTTTACTGCATCAGGAAGGTCCGGACATACCATTAATGAGAATGTGTAAACAAGACCTTCATTCTCCTTTTGAAGGATTGGATCAATCTGCAAACAACAAAATCAGTTGGTAAAATCAGCGATTTGTTAGAATTCGTTATTGAAAAACGGTAACGTTCCTCGATAAGGTGCGCGTCAAAAACATAAAATATCAAGGTTTCTTAACTGAATCGATTTTTTTAAGTGGCTTAATTATTATTTGTATTGCTAGATTTTCTTATTCGCATGTATATCTGGTCATAGGCACAGAATCGATCATACAGCATATTGATTTTTTTCCCTCTACTACGTTCTTCACAGCGCAGCTGATCCAATAATAGTAATCAGTGGTTTAATAGACCAGTGTCAAACTTGACAACTGGCCAATCAGAACAGGGCCAGAAATACGCGTCTGTCCCACAAACACACACGTGTTGTCACAAACAACTTCGCCCGTACGTGTATTCTGTCATGGCATGGAACCATAGCAACATATCCAAAGGGTGGGCTGCTTAGTGAAACGGTCCATTCCAAGGCATTCCATTCCTTCGATACCTAAAATGTTTTGCCAGGAGGTTACCAAAAAGATGAGCCATTTGAAAACCAATAGCATAGCCCCTATTCACTTGCTTCTACCACGGAACTAAACAATCAACCCACAATGGTTACCAAAAGAATGAGCTATTTTACCAAAAGGATGAGCCATTTGAAAACCAACAGCATAGCCCCTATTCACTTACTTCTACCACAGATCCAAACACTCAATCCACAATGGTGAACTAATTTGTGATTATAGCCGGCAGAATAAACATGTTACATGTAACTTACACGAATAACGTGCTGTCGGTCTTGGAACACCGGGAGCGCAACGTGTGAGCACCAGTAGGTTGTGGGCTTGTTGCTCGGTACAAGAACCTTATAAATTAAATACAGTATAATAGGTAAAATTTCATTAAAATATTGATTGAAAAAAAAAACAAACAGACCAATTAAAAATATAACATTGGTAAACAACATTTTCAAAAACAACGATGATGATGATGATGATGATGGTGATGATGATGATGACGACGACAATGATGTCAATTTTGTATAGTCTTAAATAAAAGTAAAATTTAAAAAAAACATAGTTGATCTAAATCATAAGTCTAGGTTTGTCATTTAGGGTGCTGTACCCCATACATTATATTACTACTTATGAACATATGCACGTAATTGTTTTTTTCCCTGTATTTTGGTTTATAAATTTGTCACGGCTTACCTCGTCAGCTAAAATATCTAGAGTTTGAACATTATCTGGAACTGATTTCAGGTCTGAAGACATTATACCAACGAATATTATAGATCTAACACCACTCTGATCAGGTTCATTGATGGTTGCTGTCGTGCTTTCTGGATCTTCTGGATCATACGCCCACATGACTTTCACTGTATCGGTCTAATTAAACGTGTACGTTAATTAGGTAGGCCTATCAAGTTTCCATGTTCTTAATGTTGTTAAGTTAAGCCGAAGCGTCACGACGGTGTCGGCCGACGCGATTCCATGGAGCTTGGAGAACGCAACTCGATGAAGCGCAAGCTACGGGTGTTTTTAATGACGATCCGCTCAGTCTACCCAAAATCAGCAGACGGGCGTCACGTCGCCAGGCGATTACAGAGAGCGGAAATAGATTCGTCGACCGAACGACCGTCGTACGATGCAGTGTGCGCCCGGCTTGTAAGTATTTATCCCATGACCGTTTCGTTTTCGTTCGTGCGGGTATTATCCCTGCTTATTGATCCTAAGCTGCCAGCATGCAACCACAACAGGTGCTCATTTAACTACTGGGTGGAAACAAGCAATACGGTACTGTATATACAAAGTGCCTCGCTCTGGGGCAACTTTTGCTATAGGCCTATGCAAGGACATTATTATCATTTATAAATTTGTAATATAAAAGTATATCTTGAACGTATAAACAATTTTACTAGCATTAGTACAAGCAAATACTATAGTCATGCGGGTTTTTACTACGGTATTCATAACATCAGGTTAATACGGATTATTATAAAGCCATATGAAATGATGTGTTGCCAAAGCACTGTAGCAAGTAAGTCAAGGCCGATCTTGAAGACATAAACACTTTCACCCAGGCCTACATAACTTATGCTGATGAAAGGTGCATTCACACCGAATCAGATTTTTCCGTTCCGAAAGCCTACCGAAGTTTATCAGAAAATCGGATCAGTATGTAAGAATAGGAACGCTTGCGTTCTGCGCATTGGAAATGCGGTCCGAATTTCGGTTCGGATGCAGTGTCATAAGGTAGATTCACATCGAATCCGAATTCATTTCGTATGGCTAACGAAACGAAAAAAGAAAATTTATCAAAGATTGAAAATTACAATATTCCAAGCATCTATTCTAATCTATCTATTCTGATCTATCTATTCTAATTATAGTCCTCTTATGAGTCTGGGAGGTGTATCAGCATTGCCGCAGTTTTCTGTTCCTTTGTAATAAATAGTTTTATTAGTTTTGATGGCAGGATAAAATTAAAAAGAAATCTAGGCCTTTATTTAGGCCTATTTAATTTCATTTTGAGTATACATCCTATGTTCTCATTAACAATTGGGGAAAAATAATAAATCATCAACTGACCGTGATATCCCAATCGTCAGGGTCACACGTTAATAACTTTCGACGATATCCGAGAACTGTTAAACCATCAGTCTCACTTCCGTACAGCAACTCGTAGTCAGCATGGGTATCTTTCACAGGTTGGTTCCTAACGCCATGTCGGTCCTATATACCAGTAGGAAGGAAAATTATAACAAAACACATGTTAAAGTATTGTATTGAAGCAGCAAGACGTATAGCTAAAGGCAATCATACACACGGTCTTATGCCAGTGGTGTAACGCTGGGGCCGGGGGGCCTGTGGCTTTCTGAGAGTAGGGGCCCTTTTTGGTCCCACCGATAGCCATTTACATTGTGGACTTTTAGATTTGCTCGTTTTTAATCATGTTTGTTATTGTGTTCTAACTGTTTTTAACGACAAAGTAAATGATGTCATATCAATGGTGGATACAGGAATAGAGGGGCCAGGGAGTCACTTTCACTGATGGAGGGTCTATTGCCTAAGCCTCACCATAGTTGGGGCTGAGGTAAGAAAAAATATGATTATAGCACCTCTAAATGGCCGGAAATGACACTCACAAACTTCAAATTTGAATATAATTTCCTTTTTATTTCCTATCTTTTTATTTTGACAAATTTAGGGGGAACCCTTGATCGGACAGTTGTGATTCCACGGCAAACAAGACGCGACGATCAGAGCGCGCGCAACGGATCGTTTTTAATGACAATCCGCCCAGGTGTTAGCTGTCATCGACAATCAACAGAAGGTGTCGCGTTATCGAGCGCTTACGGGCAGTGAAGATGGATTTGTCGGCCGACGGTCGTACGAACGTCGTACGACGCAGCTCGCGTGTTCAGCTGAAATAAAAAAAAATGTAATGTAAAAAGTATAATTACAGATGAATAATGTCTAATAATGTTAACATAATTGTAGACTTACAGAAATATATGGCTTGCCATCCTTAACCCATCCAACCATGACATCCGCTCCGTTCATTTCGCCATCGGGTGAAAGTCCGATTTTAATGTATCCAGTCGTGTTCGCTCGTACCTCAAATGTAATTGTATCACCGTCTACACTCCATAACAGTTGTACATTTTCTTGCAAATCTAGCATCGCATTATGTTGAAAACCAGCAATTAAAACCAAGGCACTATAATTTATAACAAAAACAGGTAACAAACTTTTCAACAACATCGTTCACAAAGCCTTTGACGCTATTAACTGAACTGCTGGCCCGTCCACCTCACATCGAGTCCTAGAATGATGAATCTACCCTCAAAATATCACCATTCTTGTCGTCGACGACTGCTAGAAATGTTATGATTTAAAATGTAGTTTTTTAACCAGATTTTTTTTTGGAATAACAATGAATTGTTCAATAGTGTCCCATGAGACTTTCCTGAATAGAGAGTCTAAGTACATTATGACGTTTATGTCCTTTATATTAACGTAGAGCGCAAACGTAAGTGGGTGGTCAGTCCAACGCTTCTCAAATGCGGGGAGACTCAACACGCTTATTGAAATGCATAAAATAGACATCATTATTTGCAAATGAGCTCACGTAGGCCCAAACTACTTGATAGGTAAGCATATTATTATCCAAGATATTTTGAAGGATGATGATTATAATAATATCACATTAAAGGATGCCGCTTCTCATTTTTTCCTACAATAGCGATGTGGTTTAAGTTAGAAGGATGACCCTTGGTGCTAAAATCTGCCAAACTCATAACATTAAATCCAACTTGCACTTTGTCAAATCCTCGATAGGACATTGTGTGAACAATATAGCTTAATATATAATATTATTAATCTGGAGGTTTTTTGACGAAATTGATGATTGGATTGAATGGTTAGATGAGCCTTGTTTATGTTTGTGAAGTAAGTCCAGAAGAACAGTTTTAATTTAATAGTATAATTGCTTATTTATCTACTTTAATTCTAACTTTATCTCTAGTCTTTTGGGTCTTCCTCAGGAAACATAGCTACAGTATATATATTTTTTTGCTGCAGTTGGTGCTTGATGATGTTGACGATCTCCGACTCCAAATTTGCTGATCTCTTACTCCGAAACCATGATTTAGAAATTCCGGGATGGTGTCCCGGCGGCGGGGTAGTTAAACCATATAAGGTAGTTTATTTAAGCGTATTTAAGTGTATTATAAGATTGTCTACGGCGTTATAAACTGCATCCGGTCGAGCCGGCGGCGGCTGAGTCTGGCAACCTCATTTGGTTGTCTTAGCCTCCGCCGGTGGGAGGGTAGATATTGAAGGATTATTCCCGCTATCAAAATATCAAACTGAAAGAGCTCAATCACCCAGCGTATAGAGGCTTTTTTGGATGATGCCCAACAAAATCCAACAATTATTATTATTACAGTATTACGATGATCATAATGATGATGATGACGATGATGTTAATGTTGATGATAAATATAATGGATAGTAATAATGATAATAGTACTGATGCCCTCTTCAAATGCCGAGCAATTCCAATGATGTTCAGAGTGTGCTCTGAATGTCAACTGCAATACAGAGAGTAGGCCTAAAAACACATGTTGCCCCAACAACATTATGTATTTTCTTATACAGTGCTGTATTAGGCGTAATATAAAGGGTATTTTAAAGGACGAAATCACGCTTTAATAGTTATGTACGTTTACAGTGTTGTTGATATGTGCGCAGGCTATGTTTTTGTTCTTTTGTCAGTTAAAAAATTACGTTCGGATGGTTAGCCTTATTCTGATGAGGATGATCATTTAACAAGTATTGGCTATTGTCTAAAATCTATGATTAATCGATATTGGTAAATCTACTACATCTATTGTTTCATATCGATTAGTTATCTGCATAGTGTAAAGGCTGCCCACTAGACAGTTACAGGCGACCCAGACTCACAGAATTTTTGAACAGTACCGGTATTCATTTAGAGAAAAAAAAATGGATAATACTGCATATCCATCCGAAAACACAAATCCTCGAGTAGCATTTCAACGAAAAGAACAAAGTGCCGTACCACACGACAACGTTTTGTTTGACATCACGGACGCCCAGCCACGACCGTCGGACGTTACGTACGTTAATGTTAGTTTGAGCGACGCAGAAGGTCCGTCCCAGGTCAGTGACGGAGACTCCCGTGTTGTGAGCACCAAAACCGCGGTCCCGGGTGTCAACAGGCATAATGTGGACACTACAAATGAGAGGTCGGCTCAGCTTTCAAGCGTTTATGAGTCGTTTCTGACGAGGGCAGGTCTTGGAAAGTTCCACTGGTTTCTACTAGTGGTGATTGGTTTAGGACTATTTTACTGTGGACTGTTAATGGTGGTTATCGGATTTTATGTACCAGATATCGTAAGAGATCTTTGTCTCACAGAGGATGATACGGGATGGCTACGTACGTACATTATCTTTGTTGTCTCATAATTGTGTCACACAATGCATCTTTGCAAATTTATAAATTCATAATAATAACAATATGTAGTTATTATTACTATTACCAATTACTATTACTGTTACCTCTTATTATTATTATTATTATTATTATTATTATTATTATTATTATTATTATTATTATTATTATCATCATTATCATCATGCTCATTTTATTATTAACATAATTATTATTAATATAGCGTAATCTTTATCATTATAATATATCAGCATCATGATCACATCAAAATTTCTATCAATCAAGTACCTTATTCAACATCTTTTTCTTTTATTACAAATAACAAATTACAAATTGGTGGAAAAGGAAAAACCATGACAAGAATAAATTATATATATATATATATATAATATGTAGAAAAGACAAATGAATAATATATAAAATATGATGAATAAATAAACAAATAAAAACAATGAGAATAATAAAAATTAAAACATTAATAAAAATTAAACCAATAAATTTAATTACAGTAGCAATTGTTATAATTATAATCATATTTAGATCGATGCTATATTTCATTCATTGTTTACTAAAATTCTAAAATAGAGTAAAACTTCACCATTGTGGCCGGTTAGCTCAGTCGGCAGAGCGTCGTGGGGTCGAGCCCCATATCGGCCAGTTATATAATAATAATAATAATAATAATAATAATAATAATAATAATAATAATAATAATAAAAATAATAATAATAATAATAATAATAATAATAATAATAATAATAATAATAATAATAATAATAATAATCTTTATTTGAAACTTCACTTTTAAAACAGTGGCACACGATGACGGTGCGTTCATAAGAATATAACATACAACATATAATCAAAAATAAATTAACAAACGGTAACAAATAAATTCAAATACAGTACAGAATTAAAACACAGCGTAGAAAACGACAAACAATAACTCTAAAATGTTGACCATATTAAAATAGAATAGGCAGAAATAGATTAAAAATGTACTTAATAAAGGAATTCCCATAGATATAAAACGGTATGTTTAAAATTTTTAAAGAATTAAAATTAAACAGTTGACAAATTTAAAACTTTTAAAATTTCAGTCCAACAATTTTTTTAAATTTTTTTTAAATAACTACTTAAGACAGAGGTAAAATTTTTAAGTCGTGACAGTCATAGACTGATGAAGTTGCTTAATTATTCTTGATTCATAACTTTAATTCTAGTTTGCCAGGCTCTTTTTAGATAAGACTTACACATTTTAATAAATATAGTTTCCTTATTTCTGTAATATTTATACATTTAATTGTTGCAAAGCATGAGACAGGTTTGTATGAAAATCCCGAGAGATAAACCAATTCCAAACAAACTGCCCATCAATCATTTTACACAACATGTTTTCTAACCTATTAAATTCATCTATACGTATATCATTAATTTTATTATTCCTACACGTAAATAAGAAATGATTAATATCCTCAGTACCGGATTTACAAAGTGTACATATCTCACTGATGTCATTACTCCGATTTACTTACTTTGCTATTTAATGGTAAGTTACCGTATTCGATCGTGCCTTAAATTTAATGCTAACCCCATTAAAGTCGAGTTTGTCAAGTAAATATTTTTCCACTGAGATGTCACATGGCGATTTTAATTGTAAATATGTAGAAGCCAATGCATTCTTGTTTGTTGCACTTTCATATCAGCTCTGTTTATCATTTTATTTTATCTTATTTTTAGTGACAGTCAACAGGTTGTAATTATTAGTTGCCATAAAAATACTTACACTTTCAAACCCAATAGAAGAAAACAGTTTGTTCATGTGATCGAACCAAGTACACTTAATCCGTTTAGTTTCATTTAAATTTACTAGAGCATTGAGTGCTAAGCGAAGCCATCGGTCTTCACTAAAGTTCTTTAGCCCGCAAAGAAATTTTACACGTTGGCAGTTTTGAATTGCCTTTAATGAGTGCCTAGCTCTGCATAAAGTACCTCTTTGCTAGATGTGTGTGGTGCACGAAGAAATACCCTTGCTATCTGAATTTGCAATTTTTCAAAGGTTTACATATCGGTACACCCTCCTGCCCATGTTGAACAAGCATAATTGATGGAGGGTATACCTAGGGATTTCCTTAATATGTAACCGTTATAAATTCTGTTATAGTCACCCTGTCCGTTAAGAATAGACTGCAAATTATTTTCTTACCCTTGTTCTGGACCTCTTTTATATGGTTATAATCTGATCTATTTCTAGATATAATATATCCTTAATATTTATAAGTCTCAACCTCAGATATATTTACATGGCTAAGCTGCCATATTCTCTCATCATTTATTTTTTTACCGGTTATTAGCACATTGACTTTTCGTGATTAAAATTCAACTTTAAAATACAGTACTGAATTCGTTTGCTATATCTAGCATTTTCTGTAACTCATTCCAATTATTTGCTATAAGAACAACATCATCATCTGCAAAGAACAGACACCCCATTTGTACATTATACCACCACTCTGTATTTTACTAGTAATCTAGTTAACTCATTAATATAAATTGAAAATAAGATTGGTGACAGAACGCACCCCTGCTTTACACCCTCATCTATATAAAAAAACAATCTGTTTCAATGTCTCCAAATTTCACTTTACCTTTAACATTGGTGTATAACCTATTTAAGATTAACCACACTTTTCCTGTTATTCCCATTTTCCATGCAGTAATGAGCAATTTATCTCTTCATACTGTGTCAAAAGCTTTACGGAAATCAAGGAAGGCCATGTAGGTATCCGTACTCTCTGCTTGCTTAATCGCGACAATATTTTTTATTGTAAAGATGGTCCTCACATCATCGGTTTTTCCTAAAGCCTCCCTGGATTTCCGTAAGTCTTTTCCTCTACAAACGACGAAATAGCATCTGAGACCAATCTATTGGAGATTTTTGCAACGCAAAAACCAAGAGTTATGCCTCTATAGTTATCTAGGTCATTTTTGTTTCCTATTTTTAAATATTGAAATGATAATTCCTTTGTTCCACTCATCGGGTATACTTTCCATAGCTATCAGTCGTTTAAAAAGTAAGAGTTTAGCTTGGTGCATACCATCCAGTTAAAATGTTCTCTACGCATTTGATTTAATAATATAAATACCAACGAATTGATTTATTTAGCTACACAAAAAACATATCAATTAAATTTTATATTTTTATTGGTGCAGATGCTATTGTGGGTCAATATCCTAATATGTATCTTTGTTTACCTAGCTAGTCATTAAAAGCTGAGTAAACAATATACTACCCTGATACTACCATAGTAAGTGTCTCTATGTAAATGTATGTTTCAATAGGCCTACTTAAGAGGTCTACTCTATCGTATTTACGACGACTTATATTACTATAACAACGCACTTCCATTGCAGGTAACAGGCCTAATAGGCCTACTAATAGTGATCTAAAAAAAGTCGTTACAAGTGACATTTTTGTTTTTAAACTCTAAAGTCACCACGTGAAATCATACAGTATTCAGTGTGAAAATGATCACATATTTTCAGTTCCATATTTTGCTTCTACTTTAGGTGGCAGTATTTTTATCGGCCCACTAACTTCGTCGATTGTGTGGGGTTGTGCATCCGACCTGTCTGGTCGACGGCCTACGCTGGGATTCTCTTTGGTAGTTGCTGGTATTTTTGGCCTCCTCACCGCAGTAGTCGAGTCATACGGCGCTATGATATTTGCATTGATAATGTGTGGTATAGGGTAATTGTCATGAATATTGCATTTTTTATTCATAACAATTATGTGAAGATACGTTTAAATATTATGAATGTCTTAAAAATATCGTAAACATATATACATAGGCCTATGATGACAATTGATTTATATAATACACTTATATTACCATTACTGTAACCTCGCGTGCTGCAGAGATTATCTTTCAAATCTGGACAGAATACTTGTTGTCAGAATAATTAATTTAGCTTCTTTTGCATCTGCTTCAGAACCTTGGTTTAAAGAACTAAATATTTAGAAAATTATACATTTGCATAGAGTATAAGTTTCTTCTTTTATGTTTTCATATGTTAAAGGTCAACTCCCAACTTCTATACTTGCAAATTATTCAAATTTCTAAATGTATTCATGACTATTATATAAGGATGAAAGTTTACTTAATGTTCCTTTTGTTAGACTCAGAAAAAATCAATTTGTTATGACGGTCGACGGACCCAAATTATAGAATGATATTGATGATAAATTAAAAATATGCCAAATGTTAAATTATGTAGAAAACAGATGAAAATAAATTATTCAGAAATGTATCAATCATAGCTCTTAATTAATTTAAAATTTATTACATTTTTACTGCTGTTCTTAATTTAAATTTAAATTGTATTTTGTTTATCTATTTATTTCGTGAATATGATTTGTGTCTCGTCCGGGGTCAAGATGATACAAGCCCAGCTTCTAAGCTTGACCCAACTTGATGGAATCTTGTATTTGTTATTTTCCCCATCGAATGAATAAATGTGTAATTGAATTGAAACCCATAGGTCGATTAATCACACAATAACAAATTATATTTGAATATTATTGTTTTCTACACATAGGCTAGGGGGCGTGATTCCAGTTTCATTAGTTTACTACTTCGAGTTTCTCCCTAAGTCCTCTCGTCTCAGGCACTCTGTCGTACCAGTTCTATTTATTTTGATGGGAAGTCTGGTTGCACCCCTAATAACGACTGGACTGGCATCCTATGAAGTTAGTAAGTATCCTGTATTGTAGTCCTCCTGATCATTTCTACTTCAATTTGCCACCTCTCCCTCTCCCTCCCTCCCTCTCTCTCCCTCTCTCTCTCTCTCCCCCTCTCCCTCCCTCTCTCTCCCTCCCCCCCTCTCTCTCTCTCTCTCTCTCTCTATCTATCTATCTATCTATCTATCTATCTATCTATCTATCTATCTATCTATCTATCTATCTATCTATCTATCTATCTATCTATCTATCTATCTATCTATATATGGATGTGCCAAACCTTTTTGTTCTCGTTTTCTTTACAGCGATTCATTACTATGACAATAAACCATTCGAAGCATGGAGGATATCTCTCATCCTATTTTCATTGATGTGCGTTTGTCTAGCCGGCGTCGTTTTCTTCGTCTTGCCCGATAGTCCAAGGGTCCTACTACAGGTGAGGAAATACCTCCTATTTTTTTCTCCCAATTAATTTGATTTGAATTTATTTGGTTCCAATAAAAATACATATAAATAAAACACAATCATAAAAGATACAGCAACAAGCATTATATTAACATAGAGATAAAAGCCTATAAAAAGTAGAAATTTGATTCAAAAACCTTCAAATACTAGAACAATAACTTGAAATAAGAGGTACCAAGGATAGCCCACAAAAGATGTCGTAAAACAATCATTTCCAGAGGGGTCCTTAATATCTACCATTAGAATAAAAATTGTATTCGTTAAAACTTTTGAAAAAATTTAAATGTTCCATTTAAAATAATCAAATAAATCAACTTTTAATACAATGATACAAAGATCGAAAATAGGTCCACTGAAAGCTTAATTATAATTAAAAATTCAAGTAGGCCCTATTTAATTGTATTGTTTATTAGCCCAAAATTGACAATACGGTTGGCCATTCAGAGTCTAATTGGGTGGATAGCCTATTACATTTCAACATTACAACATAAATTTCTTTTACGTCATAAACACATACATTAAAAATTATGAGATAGCAACCACACTAAATAAGTAAAACCTACACACTTTTTCAAACAAACTATGTTTCACCTTTTGTTTAAGAAGTTTGTGTGTACCGTGCGCTATCAAGGCCTGACTGATTAATGTTAGGTCTAATGTATTTATTTACAGAAAGGAATGTGGATGGACTGTGTAGATATCCTAGCAAATATCCATAAACACCACAAAGGAAAAACGGGCAACGATTTATTCAGACAAGAGGTGCTTTATTTTACTATAAAAATCAATGGATCGTAAAAGGGAGAGGGTTGATATTTCGTAACCTGGAGTTTTCGTAACTCTTTCGCTGATATTTCATTTTATAACTCAGACATTTGAAATAAGAAATCTCGTTAAGAAATATGTCCGCGGTAGAGAAGTTCGAGTTACAAAAAGACCGGGTCACGAAAATGTCTGCCACCCAACGTAATTATAAGAAGTACTATAATTGTTGTTACTGTATAGTTGTGAGCATTTTATATAGTCACAATGGTACTGTAGGCTTATTTAATAATCATGATATTCTAACTGAGCTAGGCCTACATCTGTATATTTTTTTTAGATTAGACCACATTCCTGCTAGTTACATCAGAGGTGTGTGCATGCTAACGGCTCGCAGACAGGTCTTAAAGATACAATCACACGTCCAGTGTGAACCACAATAATTAATATATCAAGGTATCTACTTCACAAAAAAAAAACAAAAAAAAAAAAAAAAAAATAGGCCAATACGTGCACTTACTGTACCACTTAAACGTCGCTGATTGATAGTTTGAAAAAGTTGTCAGGTCGTTTGATAGACACGTTCTATCTCATCCATCCGGGCAGATTAGAGAATAATTATTAAAAGGGTGCAAGATGAAGGTTCTCACTAATGCGTGATATCATGAATGGCGCCCTCTTGCTAAATTGGAAACTTTTGAACCTTGACCGACGCTTCTATTTGTTACACGTAAATCGTGGAGAACGCTATCTTGTGTTTATAAGATCTTTGGTTGTTACCAGCAAAGAGTATAAAACTGCAAGAGGTCCGACTGCCCTTATTTTGTATACAGGCAATGGAACGTTAAAAAGTACTCTCACAAAGGGGCGTGTCCTTCATAAGAACGTAAAAAGCGTTCGTATCGAACGCGTGCTGCGTTTCGAATTCCAGCATACATTCTATAAACGCGCGGCATGCGTTCGATATGAACGCACATTACGTTCTTTTATAGGCCACGCCCCTTTTGGGTAGTACTTTTTGAAATAGGATTGCGTTCCAAAGAATCCCTGGCAGTCGGACCTCTTGCAGTTTTATACTCTTTGTTACCAGTGGAAGTTTTGATTCTACATGGAGAAGTTTTTATTAGAAAATTAATTAAATTTTCAGGAACTGTAACTGTGACTGACTTTGGACTGCAAAGTAAGCACCACTGTTATGCACCACTGTATGCTTTCATACTTTCCACAACACAATAATTGATAGCTATTGTTTAGGATTTTGATTTATTTCTTTATTAAGCTTAAAAGTGATTAATCGCAGAGTGCTACCTGGAGAAGGTGTTACAATCACCATCTATAAATTAAATTTTCAGGAAATTAATGAAATTTTCGGCAATTGTAGGCCTACCTGAGTGAGATAGAGTGAGCACCACTGTTGCTTACCATCCTTGTTACAATAATTTATAGTTATTTTTTGGGATTAGGCCTATTTTATTTATCGCAACAAGTGCTACCGTGTAAAGGTGTGTTACAATCCGACCATCTATTATCACCCCAGTATTAACTGCTATGTGATGACTGGCATATCGTTAAAAATAAATCTCACCGTCTATCATTACATTATTATAATTTTATTTTTTATTTTTTCCAGTTATTGCATCAGTTCTTACTTCGCTTGTGGTCTGCTTTGCATGGACTGCTAACAGTGTGGGCGTTGGTGCAACCCTAAATGCATTCTTCCAGCTGTGCGCAACTCCCGGATGGTGCGTACTCGTTGCCTTAACAACTGCATATTTTCCAACAAGCCACAGGTAAATGTAGCTCTGGTCTTCGTCATTGATGAAATATATTTTTCGTTAATTAGGCCCATATTTTTGTTGTGAAACTGCAATCTTTAAAAGTGGGGTGTTGTAAAACATTTTTGTAGTGTTTATGCAGGGGAAGCCGCTCGCCGTATTATGCCTGTGCCGATTGCTGAAAATGTGAAGGATAATAGGCCCTAGAATTATAAGATATAGGCCTAGTCTATAAAGGTCATTTTGTGTGTCATTATCAATTTAGAATAGTACAGTATCAAATGATATTCTTACAGAGACAGTCACAACGTTTAAAAATAGGCTCTTGTTTTCCTGCTTTTAACTCATAACCCATCCACGCTTGTGTTGGCAATTCACTTTTTTGTCAAACAATTCATCATCAAAATAGTGCCCGTCTTCGATTCGAAGGTTACTTTTCATGTTTCGCCACTGCTCACGACTCTCGGCCATTCTTTTTAGTTTTCCATATTTTTTCTTTATTTATTTCTTTTTTCTTTTTCTTTTTTGTTTATCAAACAACTACATTACATTATGCGTATTAAAACTTCTGGGCGAATAAGTAGGAAATAACATTAATAGCCTCAACATTGGAAATATACTCCTACGGTCTACAATTAATATTACTTTATTTATTTAATCTCAGTTTTATAACAAACAACACAAAACAAAATGTAATAAGATAAACTTGTTCAATATCAATAAGAAAGACCTATAATATATGTCACTCTAAACTGTGATTTATTTGTAAATTCGTCTTGTTTACCTTTTGGAAAGCGGATAAATGTCTCTTTTAGTCGCAATCCTGGTGGTCTCTGAGCGCTAGTGTCAAGTTGATTTAGCATTGTGTCAGAAACACTGGATCTAAATAGATATCATACCCTTACGAAGCGTTTACGTTCACTTTTAATGAAGGCGATAATGCGGGGGGAAATGTTGTTGATCGGACATCGGAAATGTTTTGAGGTTGCTTATCTGGCTTTCACCTTTCCATTGAATCTCCGTGGTGTGATGTATGAGGTAATAAAGATGATTGTATCGTTGTTTGATTCTCCCTTGTGGGGAAGTATTTAGCAAAGAGGAATGTGAACAGTAAACTTGAAGATAATAAGCTAAGTTGAAATTTTGGCTAAAATGTTTTAAGAGTCAACTCGGGTTGCTGCGGGAATCTTGATTACGTATCATATGCGCGTGTTTTTGTTTCTTTTTTCGATGCTTGAAATGCATCTTTCCTCTGTAGAAAACTGGTAGCCTATGTTACCTTCTTTTAGTCATGACTCACATAGAAAGACATCATGTATTACAAATATTGTTAATAAAATTAATATGAATCCATTTAATTAAAAATTAAACAATTAAAATTTTACGTAATCCAAACATTAAAATAGGCCTGCAAATCGAGGACCTAAAGTTCGAGAAGGGAGGGCTTAGGTATTCTCTTTCCTATTGTTCGGACATAAGTTTTAGTCAAATTCATCTTTTATGCCTATACTGTTTTTATAAGAATACCGAGGCTGAAATTGCTTTAAGAATAAGAATATAAGAACAAATTGAGGCTGAGGTAAAATATCAATTGGGGTTTATATTTGTGTTTATATTTAAAAACCGACAAATCAAGCAAGTCAGATAGGTTACCGCGGTAATGTTTAAACATGCTTTACTAAAAAATTTTGGTCTTACCTGTACATTATGTGCGGAAGGTGTGACATACACCATCAAATACACTTTTTGTTTTTTTATAAGAACCAGTAAAATTTTGCCCAGGCTCAGTGTTCTTATTTTTTGGCCAATTTCAGGCTCAAAATGTTCTTATTTTGTTCTTAGTTTACATACACATTTAAAAAAAAATTATTTATTTGTACGGCAGTATCCACTGTACTGGAATTTAGGTGAAAATGACCCCACAGAAATGGCCCCCAAATGTCAGATAGGTACACCTACTGTACAGTACTGTATTACAGAGAGTATTACAGTCACCCCTATACTGCACATAATGTACAGATATAATATTTTGGTTTTTAAAAATATAAACCTCATTTGAAATTTTACCTCAGCCTGAATTTGTTCTTATCTTGTTCTTAATTTTTAAGCAATTTCAGCCTCATTGTTCTTATAAAATGTGTTGTTATAAAAAAAAAAAAGTGTAATACAGAACAGTAATATGCTGCTGCACGAATATTTTTTTTTTATTGAAAATACGGTACGTGTGTAAAATGAGAACAAAATAAGAATATTCTTAGCCTGAAATAAAAAATTAAGAACACTGACGTCATCCTGAGAAAATGTTACTAGGTCTATGAAACAAAAAGCGTATTAAAAAAAAACTTGAGGGAGGAAGAGAGAGTGTCTCTTTCGTCATTCCTGGCATTGTATCACAATAGGCCTACTTATGATCGGTGTGTTTTATAACCTATCATTGCAAGTATTTAAAGGGTAGGCATAAATATGTCTGCCAGAGTACTGTACTGTAACAGAAACAGTCTATTAAGACTGACGCTGGCATTTTTAAGGCGTCCTAAATGATCACTGTCTACAGAAAATGTGTTTATCCTCGTTACCCTTCCTCTATTACTAAAACCAGCACCCTAAAAGGACATGTTTATTTAATCACAAACAGTAACGGCAAGTGCATGGAAGGTGTTTGAACTTCAAATATACACCGATCCATTCAGATTCAAGATAAGTAGGCACATGTAGCGAAAATGTTACTTCTTCCCACAATAATTGATGGACACGTTACTATTGCTACACATGAAACCACAAATATGTAAAAATATACGAATGATTTATTAAAGGTATCTATTATAATCAACGGGGCCGTATCCCGGCTTATTGCAATTTAATGATTCTTTTTGTTTTTTGTTGATTAAAAATTCAACTATCAGCAAAAAAAAAAAAATTAATTATGATTAATCATTTGTATGGGCGGCCGTTAGGGCCAATATGCTCTACTGTCTATTATACAGTCCTCATCGTAGCTTTCGAGATTACGAAAACTTGTTTTTACTATGGCAAAAGCAGAGCCTAAATGACGACAAATTGCTGGTTAAAATTGAAATAATTAAGATTCCTTTTTAATCTTTTAACTGAAACAACAAATTTTGTAATTAGTAAATTCCCGATCGTCTTAAAAATGTAGACCTTTTCCGATTTGGGTACGGGCAATGTGTTGCTTAAATTGTAATGATAGAGTTTTTTTTATCAGTTAAACGTATTACTATCATCATCAGTACATTATTAATATTTTGTACTGTTATTCTTATTAATATTTAAAAGGCTAGAGGAATTCCATCACGATTCCAACTGTTATCGCTATAGTAACATGGGATTTCGATGGGCAAACTACAGTAATTCATTCATGGGCAGCTCAAGACCAAGATTAGTTGTTGGTTTGTTCATGGAGGAATTTCATGGTTTGTAGTATGATTCTGCTCCTCAGTAGGCTAAGAGTAGAGTTACGATTAATTAATTTTACACTATTTTTTTAAGTATCCCTTTTTCTTTTAGGGGAACGGCTGCTGGGCTGATGGTAACCGTGGCAACAGCTGGTGGCTTGATCGGTATTGGTATCATGGGAAGTCTTTCATTTGATGTTAGCGAAGCAATAAGAATTGTTCTGACAGTACTTTTGCAAATTGTCGGTATTGTTGTAACTTTCTGGAAGATCATAGACCCCCGGGAAATATTAACATCAACGTTCTAGATCCACGGGGAAAATTAACTTCAACGATCTCGATCCAAGTGGAAGATTAACATCAACGTTCTAGATCCACGTGGAATATCAATATCAACGTTCTACATCCGTAGAGGAACTTTCTAGGTTCCATGTGGAAATGAAGCCACATATTTTATGCTAGTTGAAAAATAATCCCCTCTCCCCCCCCCCCTAT